GTGTCTACTGCGCTTGGATCTTCTTAACTATCATTTCCACCGTCATCAAAATCCAGAAGAAAAAAAATTGAGCAAATCATCTACACACGAGAACTCGTGATCAACAAGGGCCATTTAGAATACCCATGGAATACCGTAGGCGACTCTCGTCAACGAAATTGCGCATTTCGCGAGAGTTCACGACTCTCGCCGCCTAAAGCACGCATTTAACGAGAAATTAAAATAAACATTTAGTTTATGTTAACGGTTAGTTTAAATCAGCTTAACTTTTTTCCAGCCTAACCTGCTACAATAGAATTGCTGGAGTTGCTTGTCCTTCCTACTATATTGTCTATGGTTTAACTCCGGGGTTACGTCCAAACGCCACCCTCTTGACTGGAGATCTGCGTTAGAAAATAAACCTTTGTTGTTGCGGTGTACGCAAGAAGATGAACTACTTATGTTTTTAACATCACTTCACCTATTAACAATTCACCCTTAGATGTGATAATTTCATTTCAATAGTAAAAATCCGTTCTCAAAAATCCAAATAATTACAACCTCACCGAAATTCATTTTCTATTCTTACCCACAAGCCACACGCAGACCATTCATCAAACACGAGTGGTCTGGGGTATACTAGTACTATGACCCATGCCAAGGACTTCCTGTTTGTAATGCTATATGATAAATCAGATTAACTATCACGTGAAACCAAATGAAAATAATTCTAAAATAACGTACTTATACCCAATTGATTCTGGATTCATTGACCAGGGAGAAAGAAATGACATTTGCAATAATAATCGACGAGCAGGTCCGGGTAGTAACGTTCAGTTGACGAAATAGACGATACAACAGTACTGATTGGACCTACATGAATGCTAATCCATTTCACATAACCAAATGTTGTTGTTTTTTTGCTGTTGTACATTATCTTCGGTAATAACTCCAAAAGTGAAGTCTTATATCTTCAGCAGAACGTAGCCGTTAAAACTTGCAAAACGAGTGTTTCGATCGATGATCGCTTAAGCAGCATACAATTTATTTATTTTTTGGCTCATTTATAAAATACGAACGATGTCAATATTTAAAACTGCGTTTTGTCTGTCTCTGGCGTGCTTCAGAATGATATAGATCTTGGCCGATCAATTTTTACAAAGAACCTATATGTACACCCAACCTCCTACTCGCTTCTGCTTTTCGATCATTATTTTTACTCGCTTTTGCAACCGCATGTTGAATAATTCCTGCATAATTTTTCGAGCATGCGAACCCAGAAATATCGCCCGTCTGCCTGCTTGCATTTTAAATACATGACCGTGGCATTAATATGTTCCTGGTGTCTCTCTTCTCTGCCCTAAGGAGTTAACATTGCCTGTATCACGTAAATGTCTCAACAATCATATTGTTGAAACGAAGTAGCAGCCCTGGATTCAAACGGAACCCAGTCTCGCTCCATCAGCTTGTTGTGAAACGTTCACATAACAAGAGGTCATAGTTCAAGTTACGTTCGTGAACGAAACAAAGTATGATGGTTTGGAAGTGTCGTTCAAAATTAAATAATGGTTAATACTTGTTGAATCATCAAACTTTAGCACTAAAACAACCATTTTGACAACTAAACTGCCAGTGTTCAGTGTTTGAACAAGCGGTTAGTGTTTTTAATAAGCAAGTGAGAAAAAAAAGGGATACAAACATGGTCGTTTTTCCGGTCGAAAATTAAGCGATATGCTGTTTATTAAAATGTTATAAAATTGAAATATTAGGTGAAATGAGTATTGATGCCTATTTATAGCTTGACATGCGTCACCAAATGGGGACATGGTTAAAGTTGGTAGTACCATGGAAGGTACTAATCCATGGCAGTACCAGTACTTGTATACGCGGGGAGGGAGTCCAGAGAGGGAACAGCCAGCATCCCTTCCACGGGATAACTTGAAATCTCAACTGATTTGTTTCGTTCCCACATGTAATATTAGGTTTTGCGGGCTTCTGAGTTCAAAAAAGATGACTAAATCAACTAAAAAGCAAGCGTTTAGAGACATACCTATGCAGAAGCTGGTTTGCCAGTACTTAATCCATTTTTAACTCCTAGGCTACTCTTTTGACATTGATTGTTTATTTCATGGATTTGGCACTTGAGGTGGCTCATTAGCCGTGTCGAAAACGTGCACAAAGCGACCATTCTGTGCACGTTTTCGACACGGATTAAAATCTAGTTGTAAGCACAAATTGTCATATGTATATTCCAGCTATATTACTATAAACAAAACTATATATCTTAAATTTGATAACTAACGGGGACTGTGCCATGCATGGCTTGTTATAGATAAAACCACTCAATTAAAACCCAGTGAATATTCCAATCTACCAATTAAATGTATCGCTGTTTTTATGAACTTGTAAATTTAAAACCCAGTGAATGTCCCTGAAACATCAAATCCACTAAAATTAAACTTTCACCTACAGCAATTTGCGTACATATACTAGTTTATTACTGGAAAATATCAATGAATGTTGTCTGAGTGACATGTTTTTTGTGAATACTACTATATAGTTATGCTGAAGTCTTACAACTGAGCCACAAATACAGACCATCAGTCAAAAAATGTTTGTTCTCCACTGACTTTATAAAACAGGTTTTGTCAATGTCTATTTTCCGCTTTCTGTCTCCAACATTTTCTCAGAATTCTGCAGCAGATATCAGTGAAACTTCACAGGTTGATGAACAAGTCTGTCGAGTATGCACGCATTTTTTTTCCCAGATCTAGAAGTGGGTCTTTTTCAAGATTTTCATCCAAAATTACCTCTCCCTACTGCACTGTCATGGAAAATGGGCATGCTCAGAATAAATAATTAGCTTAGATTGTAATGCCCAGGTTTTTAGTGATGTCATGATGTGATAGGTGTACCATTACCAATCTCAGTGAAAAAAGTTGGGGGATGTCAGGGCTACATTTTGTTGGGAATTATAGTGGTGATAATGAAATAAACTCAGGTCCTGGTAATATACAAAGACCTGAATTAACAAAGAAGGCAAGTTGTTATTAAAGGTACATCAAGGTTTACTCTGATTTATGAATGCAGTTTCTTAAGCGTGTATGAGACATAGTTTGGTTGCACTTGTGTATTCTGAGATTTTTGACCCGGGTCAATGAAAGTAGAGTACATATTAATTCAATTGTTTGCAGATGTTCCATGTATTATTTTAAAATGAGTATTTTATAATAAAATAACGGGGACTGTGACATTCATGTCTTGTTTTTCAAAAGAACTTATTTTAATTCTGTTACAATTTCAGTTGAGACTGAGACAACGTTTTTCTCACAAAGCTGACTTACTGGAAGACATTAGGAAGAAGTCTGAATCAACTTTACAGAATTTAAAGAAAAAATTGGAGAACCTTGAAGACCTTGTTACAACAAATAGCAGATCGTACTCTTCCATGACTAATGGTAGTTTTAATGGGACACTAAGAGATAGTGATTACTTCACAAGGTCACAAGGCATATCTGGTTTTAAACATACTGGAAAATCTGCCAATGGTGATGTTCTCATGGATGGTAAAACAAGATCCTGGATTACCACATCTCCAAGTGAATTAATAATGCCATCTTTCCATGAATTGCAGAGTCAGGATGAGATACTACATCAGGTAATTATCACATCCTTGTGAGTGCTTGTGCTGTTAGTTCCTGTTGGATGTAGTCCAAAATGAGAACTTTTTTTTGCGCCCCAAGACATATCTTGTTAGATGGTGTCTTGATTTTTTACTCCATACTGGTGTGTGATCATTTTTATCATTACAGTATACTACTAAATCTTTGACGTTTTTATGATCGCCACTGCGACTTGTGTCTTCAAGTGTTTGAGTTCAACTCAGTGGTATCATTTTTTAAGCAGTGTATTGTGATGTTTTTCAGGATCTTTCATCAAGTCCTTCTACATCTCCATCAATGAGAAGACATGGCTACACAGCTAAACGACCAAATCGATCTAGATCAGCTGAAAGATTGTCTCCTACTACTGACAGTCATATGGATGAGAGGCTAAGTATGTATAATTGCATTTTATTTCAGCGATAAATTACTGAAAAAACAGTGATAATTCTTCTATGGCTATTTGCACTTTTTCTCAAAAATGTTGTTTATATTGTTAACTGTTTACACACAGAAGAAGGAAGTAATTCTGCAGATCAGAGAATGAAGCTATTTATGGAGTCTGTAAGCGATATTGGAAGAAATGAACATTTAGATGGAAAGTCAACCAATGGGAGTGGACCAGAACATTAATTGAAATATGCAATTGATTCTGTACTGTAAATAAAATTCATTTGAGTTATATGCAATTAAGTTTTCCATTTGGCATATGTAAATTAGATTGTATTATATGCAAATGAGATATAACAATCAGTACAAAGAAAATATTGTTTGTACATGTAGCATGCAAGTCCGATTTAGTTGCTTGTATATGGAAATAAATTGTAGCTAGCATATGTAAATTAGATTGAGATTATAAGTTTAATGATATTTATGAGTTCTCTGTTGCTGACAGTGCATGCTCTATTGCAAGAAGTGAGGCATTTTTGGATCATTCATTCAATTGGCTACTATTTTTCATGGAATTTGGAGTCGTTCATGATCTTGAAGTAAACAAACCCATGTTTGTACTTATATATTTATAAACCCAACTGTTTCTTTTGAAATCAGTCTCATTTTAATTCAAATGAGACGATTCAAATGGCCCGCACCATTCCCCATTATGCAAAGTGATGTGCTAATGCATAAATTGAACAGCCAATGTCACTGCTTGAGCTCGTACAATGTGTAACTTCCATTTGAGTTTATTTTTTGCGTTTATAAATAATTTATAACATAGATGGCTTTGTTTACTAGTGTATCTTCAAATTTATTTTTGTATATTTGTCTTGCTTCATCAGTTTGTATGTCAAAATGTTTTAAATCTTACTATCTATTAAATGAATATCTGAGATAGTCAAAATTCAATGTACAACTGTGTATCCACAATGCGCTCCGACCTTTGATGATGCACTCTGCATATCGATGATACGCTCTGCCTTTTGATGATGCACTCATCATCTGTGCAGATAATTGTAAATGATCAACTTTATATTTTAAAAGTTAAAAAAAAATATAAAATAACTAGCAGTATTGTACCAGATGAGCAAATCACAATTTTTTTATATTAAACTAAACAACTTCACTTGTTATGACATAAAATGTTGACCGATTTGTTATATTCTGCCATATATATATTGTATTTTTATATCGTGTTTTTAACTGATTTTACTTGGCAGAAAAATGGATTGCCACAATGAAATGAAATAAGTAAATATTCCTCTATTTTTTTTAATTTCTGGTTGCTGGTCATATAATTATATTCAATATTGTAACTATATTGAAGAAAAGAAGGACAAATAGTAGTTATGCGATAGGTTGATTGGTTAATCACATTTAAACACAAATTGTGCCTTGATCATCCTGTGATAAGTTCTACGTGCCGTTATCACATGTTTTTAAAATAATTTAAATGAAAGTTGTACCTCAAGCTAATGATAAGTTCAATCCTATCACATGTTTCTGAAATAATTTGAACATAACTGTATGTGTATGATGTTTTATGAAGATTTTTTGGTTCATTCATAGATTTTAATGAGTTGCCAAAAAAAATATTTTTTTAATACAATGTAACCTTTATAACACACATTTAATAAGACTTTGTTTTATATTGTAACTGGATGGCAATGGCTTTTTCAACATTGCTTTTTGTATCATTTATGTCACTGTTTTAGTTATTTTTGTGTATTTATAACTTTGTATAAATATTATGTAATTATTTACATCATGTATGAATGAAGGACATTGAATAAAAAATATCACGAATTGATTTATTTTGTATTTTCTAACCTGATATACTGTTCCTAAACTTACATGATTAGGCTGTCATCAGGGTTATACTGTTCCTAAACATACAGGGTGAGACAGTCATCAGGGTTAGACTGTCATCAGGGTTCGACTTTTCTTAAACATACAGCGTTAGACTGTTTTTTAACAGTCAAGACTGTCAAGTTTTTACTATTTCTAAACATACAAGATTAGATGTCATCAGGGTTATACTGTTCCTATATACAGGGTAAGACTGTCGTCCAGGTTATACCATTCCTAAACATACAGGGCTAGACTGTTATCAGTGTTATACCGTTCCTAAACATACAGGGCTAGACTGTTCCTAAACATACAGGGTGAGACTTTCATCAGGGTTATACTGTTCTTAAACATACAGGGCTAGACTGTTATCAGTGTTATACTGTTCCTAAACATACAGGGTAAGACTGTTATCAGGGTTATACTGTTTCTAAATATACAGGGTTAGACTGTTATCAGGGTTATACCGTTCCTAAACATA